TGTGAAACACACCATTACAGATACCAAGGGCTGGTGACACTTTCAGTCTTCGCTGTTATCAGCAGCTGTCACCTACTGCAGATGCCCTAGAGCCCTTGACTCTTACTTGTGTTGCCTGTAACATGATGCACAGGGAAGTGCCATTGCTCTCGTCCTCACTGCCTGCTGTTTGCAGCACACTGTTTGCACAATATTGTTTCCCTCTTGGACAAAGAAGTCTGGACAGTGATGCAGGTAAGCAGGGTTCAGTTTCAATTGAGAGAGACTGCTGGGAGGCAGTTGTCAGTGATACAGCGCCAGCTCTGAATTTTTTTACTTGATCCTGATCAGACAGTGAGTTGAAGGTTGTGTCTGCATTGGCGTAGGGTAGACACATTGCAGTTCCAGCTCTGGGATTTGCTTTCTGTTCTGAAGGATGCCACGCTTTTTCCATGCTAAACTAAAATATCATGCATTCAGCCAGTGCGTAGGTCTGATCCAGTTTTAGGGATAACTTTATACCTAATTAATATTCATCAAGCAACCCTCAGCCAGACAGCCAGTGCTGCCCTTCCAAAAGGCACAGGAAAACTATTTATAGTGACTGCACTCTGCCCCCTTTCCCAGCCATATCAGTCAGTGAGGATTTTTTGGTCCCCACTTGCATAAAACGCACCTTTACTTTCAATCTCTAATGCATTTGATTTCATTTGTGCGTATTGTGTTCTTGTAAACTTCTGCTAAGATTTTGGAGGTGATGCTACTTGTCAGGCAGGTACTCTGGGAAGATGGGAGGTTCCACAGTTCCCTGTCCATCCTCAGAAATGTTGTTGCCAATAAATAATAAAAACCCAAAATGAGCTGTTCTCAGGACTTAGAGACCTTCAGGGATAACTGCGTAGGAGAGGGTTTCGCTGCCTGAAAGACTTGTTTCTTTGACAAGGAAGTGGGCCAAAAGAGGATCTGTGGAATAATTTGGTTTTTTTCACATGTACACAGCATGATTAGGAAGCATTCCTAATTGCAGATTGCTTATATTTCTGTGGCTTTTTATGGAGTGTCAAGACTCTAGTCTTAAGTGTTGGTTGAGAGTTTTTAGAAGCCGCAAAGCACATTAAGACACTTTTTCTCCAAGGGAAGAATAAATCCAAGTGACCTTCAAGCACATGTACAGAACTTAAGATTTCCCAGCTCGGTATATGAAGTTGCTTGAAACTAAGTACTGGACACGAGTAGCCCTGAGGAGTGTTAACTTTGCGGTCTGGCTGCAGCTACACATTTTAAATAATGCCTTTGTCTAGATACTCTTCTCATCATAAAATAGCCTGTGAAAGAGGTGAATAGCTACTGTACAATTCTGTACATGAACAGAATGTAAAATCCATCTTCTTAGATGGTAAGAAAGTGCGAATGGGCTCTTGGTCCTTCACTTCTTCCTTTTGTTTCATCAGTGAGTGCAGCATACAGAGTAGGTGGCTGCGTCTGAAGCCTGTCTCTCTCATGCTATCATACCTAATTCAACTTCTCAGTCCTTTATTACTAGCCGCGTTTGCTCTACCATTTAATGCATTTTCCCACGTTGTTCTCCACTCTGCCCCACTGGCAACTGAAGAGACTAGACAGAGTGATTGCTTTTCAGACAACTTGGAATAAAAAAGGTCTTTATCTGTAGTCCTGCTGCTGGCAAACAAATGCACAATGGACACAATGAGACTGATGTGTCAGAGGTATATTTCTTTTTCTTGGAAAAACACCTAACGTTCCCCTGTTTAAACCCAAAGAGGACAGACATTATCTTTGTCCTGCTTTCTATTTCTTAAACAAAAACCAGCTGGTGCTAGTGCTTGCCTTTAGGAAGAGACGATCAGGAAGTTGAAATATCAAATCTTGACTCTATTTAGTTGCCACGGTGATGTACAATTAACCAGGCTGCAGTAATGTTATAGAAAGTAAACATAAGGAAATATTCTTGCTAATGGAAAAATTTAAACCGTAGTATTAAATACGACTGGAGGGACTGAAGATGACATTTTAATTGATCATTTGCAATTGGACATGTATGCTTGTATTTATATTGTAATTTGATCAAAATAGTATAATTGTGTGGTCAGAAAGAAATTTAAATGAGTTTGAAAGAAATGAAACAGGATTCTGAGACACATTATTGGTGGTACAGCCTTTGAAAGAGATTGGTGTTTAATTGATTTGTGGGGATTTGTTTGGGTTTTTTTTTCCTTGTTGCTATTAAGATTCTATTTGAAAACCAATACATTTCCCCACAACATATCGAATAAGAAATAAATAGAGAGACAAAATTTGATTTGGAACAAATGGGAAATCGGATAAAGGCAAAACCATGCAAGCACCTTTTCCAAGTGGTTATGACACCGATGCAGAGTAATTTGTTTGTCTAAATGCCTTTCTTTAAGTGGTAATTGGTAAACAATCCTAATGTATTTTAAACTGAGAAAGTTGAGTGTACCTTTAGAAGCCCACACGTGCCAAAAGAAATTGATGTGCGGTTTCCCAGATCCATTCAGGAGGAATTTTCAGTTTGTGAGGTTTTTGAGATGAGTTTAGCCGTGGGATGTTGTTAAAGAATTAAAACTGTGGAACACTGTCTATGAGATACTTGTGTGCCGAAATGTGGGTCAGGAGCTGTGGGATAAAGATTATGTACTTTTGGGAATCCTGCTCCTTGTAGTATCTGTCAAAGACACGCTTTATGAGCAGCAGTCTGAACAGATGTACAGCGGAGGGGCTGCTCAGTAAAACATAGCTGGGGTAGAACCATGCCCCTCCTGACCCTGATGGGAAGAGGATTGATCCTTTAAGAACTTTTATTCATTCTCTACACTTGGCCATCTTGTTCTTCAGAACTTTGTTTTAAACTTTGAAGGATGTTACTAAAATCAAGACACCATGTGTACTTAGTAATAGGCCCTAAGGAGCTTTTCTGTGCCTTATCTTCTCTTGATAAGATTAGTGTAATACTTTCTCTTCTAGAAAGCTAAGAGCAATAAGTGACCTTCAGCTTGTTTAAAACGCTTAAGTATTGTCAGAGCATATGTTACTGATTAGAGCAGCAGTTCACCTGCTGCATCTCTTAATAAAAATAATTCTATTGCATATTGTAATTTATGGCCCAATACTCTTCACCTTCAAACTTATTCAGTTCTCCTGTCAAATTTTAACTTCATGGTGCTTGTATGTGTTCCATGCGCATTTTTCCCACTGACTTGAGCAGACGACAGTGAAGGTTGCTCACTTGGGCACGGCAAAGTGCTGAGCACTCTTGGCTCGTGTTGACTTCTCTGACAGCGGAGGGTATGCAAGGAGTACATCTTGCAGTCAAAGCTTGTTTTCCACATGCTACGTTTAGTAGAAAGATGCTCTGAAGAATGAGCCTGAACGTGCTCCTACCCCTTCTGCGGTAACTTAGGATGTTATCTTTCTGCTTTCTGAATGACTTGTATTTACTCAGAATTGCATCTTGTGATGAAATTGGCGTTGGGTAAAAATGTATTTCTTTCCATCATTTTGTATTCTTTTACTTTTCAGGTTGATTCAGTGAGCTTTTAGTTTGTGTGGCATAAAAATGTGGATAGACATACCAGTTCATTTGCAGTAAAATGCCCAGGTAGTTCCTACGCATCGTGTCCTCTTTTCTTCCTGAGCAGGATGCAGATTCCTGAGGGCCCCCTGACATTTGAGCTTTGTGTAAAAATAGCAGCTCCTGAAGTTGCTGTCAGATTATTGACAGGGGGATGGGAAGGTTTGGCATTTTGTTCCAGAACACAAGGAAAAGAATATATAAATCACAGAACAAGTGTTTTTGCCCATGCTTGCAAGATGGGTGCAATATTTCACCCCAGGCAAGGACTAAAACTGTGCTTTCCTCTGGCAAGGCCTCCCTGAGAAGGAGCTGCTTCAGCAAAGCACCAGTGTTAACTGTGTTCCTTAACATCTCCTGTGAAGCATTTGATGGTAAAATGAAAGCAATCCATCCTTTCAAATTTCGTTTTTAATATTTATTTGGCAGATCTGACCTCACAAGGGGGCCCAAGACCCCTGCTGCTGTCTGACCAAGGAGTAACACTGGAGCAAGCTGTGAAAGCAGCTTCTTGCGTCCATCTTCTCCGCATTTGGTTGCTGCCAAATGCAAACACTAGTGTGTTTTCACACGTTTAAGTTGCTTTTAGGCAGAAAATTGTTTACAGATTCAAAGTACAATTTTTGAAAATATGCTTAATATTCAAGTAAAATGGCATTCTTATGTTTGCTAAGAGCCTGTGTCAAAATCCTGTTCCACCCCGACTGCGGAATTGCTAGCATCAGATAGCTTTCACTTTATATATCCTGTACATTACAAAGATTTGCTAGAAGCTCAGGACTTAACAAGCATAACACAGAAGGACTTTTGTACAAAGCTTGAAGAGTTAGTCCTTGGCCTTTGGCCAGGAATAAAGAATGCCTGCCCTTGTGCCATTTTGTCCTGTGCTGCTCCAGTTCTGGCAGCAGTTCTGCCTCAGTGTAATTGTTGGCACTGAAGCTCAGCTGAACCCTGAATGGCCTCTTCCTGCAAGCAAGCAGGGGTGCAGAGGTCCGAGACGGCATCAAAACTCTGTATTGATCAACTGTAATAGAGGACTCTATTATGAGAACTCCTCATATCAGAGCCAAGCAAATTGACTACGGCGATGCAGTAGTAAAGTACTAAAAAAAGCCATAAAGAGTGTGAAGTAATTTTCAGTTTTTCCACAGGATAATGGAGGGGCTAAAAGAATAAGAGAACAAACAGCTCCTTCTGGGACAGTCACTGTTTTGGCTATCTGCAGTTGTTGATTTCTCCTTGTGCTAAGTAGTAGTTGAGGTTTTCATTCTCTTCTGGATCAGACACAGAGCATAGTCACAGCTTTAAGTGATAAAGTGTTTTTTATTGTTTGCAAAGGCTTGCTTACTCTTCTTTATTATGCTTACTGTTATTTAAAAAAAAAAACTTTCCCATTTCATTGAGGCAGATTTGGAAGTCAAACCAGAAACTTCAGACTCTACTACGATGGAAAGCACTTTGTTGGGGAGAAACGTTTTGAGTCCATCCATGACCTGGTGACAGATGGATTGATTACTCTTTATATTGAAACGAAGGCAGCTGAATACATTGCCAAGATGACAATAAATCCAATTTATGAACACATAGGATATACAACTTTAAACAGAGAGCCAGCACACAAAAAACATATGCCAACCCTGAGAGATGAACATGATGGCAAAGAGTCTACAGGAGAGGATGAGGTAGCAGAAAAGAGGGTAAGCAATTGTTAACCCACACTCTTTTTTCTGTTAGACATTTTATTTTGTCCTTTTAACCCTCCCACTCTACTATAAAGTGCTAAAGCTATCTGTAGATCTTTACATATTTATTTTCAGTATTGCATTTAATATTTAATAACTGGTTATATTTAAACTGGTTATAGGGGTTTTTAATGGTAATTTTTGCATATGGCAATTTTCTATTATTTGGAAGTTAGTTATTGTTGTGAGGTTCCTTTCTTTACGTATTTTCACAGTTATAGATGTAACCATTAAACCACTTATTTATTTCAAGCAGGCTACGAATATTTCATCTTAAAATTGTTTACAGTGTCTAAGACAAGTGCCCTTTGGTCAAAAATTATATTTCTTAATATATTCAGCATTCCCCAAACAAATGCATTCCATAATCTATTCAGCAGTCTGTATACAATGACGGTAAAGTTGTCCACACTATAAATAAGCCTGTCCATTAAGATGATAAAATGTTAAAACATTTCACTTGGCTAAGTTCAGCCTGTCAGAAGCTGACAGAGCTATTTTTGGCCTCAGCCAGACTTACAAAGAAGGATTGCTCTCTTCAGAGAGTTGCAGTATCAGCTGAGAACTAACTGTGTCCCAGATTATAAAAGAAAAACGAACAACAAAGAAATCTTAGAACCGGTGAAAACAGAAATATTAAAGGAGGTTGGGAATGTATCAGGCAGACAAAGCAGCTGCCTTAAACTTCATTTGTATGTCAGAGCGTAAACTTTAAAATAAAACATAATGTAGATTCCATCATGTTAAACTAAATACTTTGTTTATTGATAAGCTGACATATTAAAGTCTTTTTAAAGTGTATTTTTACATATGTGTAGGTGTTAATGCATGTCTAATAGTCTGATATGTTTTCCCTATTTCACAAGCTTCAGAATGACGTTAGAGTATGTAATATGCTTGTAGTGCTTAGAAGAAATGCTAACCTTAGTTGGGATCATCTGTTTGTCTTTCCAGTCAGAAATACGTCTGTGATTTCAGTTTTTCTTTAGTTGAAGGAAAGGTCCTACTGACAATTTATGATGTATACAACTTTTATAGTGAAGCTAAGCTCCATAGAGAGTCCACAGAAAGAGAAGGCTCATAGCTTTGGTCCTTCAAGTCCTTCTCCAGCAGAGTCTGTCATCCTACACTGAGTTTGCTGAGAGATGAAGCACCCAACTTAGCTTAGAGTATGAATCTTCACTGTTACCAGATCATTTTGACAAAAGGAATACTGTGGGGATGTTGATACTAGCTGACCATGTTAAATATCCAATTTCTTGCCTGTTAGGTACCAGTAGTAGAGGGGTGAGTTATCAGTTACAATTCCTGACACCCACAGACTTGCAGCGTGCTGTTTCTAAAGGATTTTTTTTGCATATTATCAGAAAGAGTTCGTTATAATGCAAAGCCTGGGAAAAAATCTTCTGTAAGAGTTCTGGAAGTCCCTGCTTTGGGCTTATTTGGTAAAATTAACTCTTCTTTCATTTAGCAGCTTTCAAGTGACAACAGAACTCTGTTTTGTCACAACATTTTTTAGACTGACGAGAAAGTTTTCATAGTAAAGGGATTTCAATTATTATTGTTGAAGGCTGTTTTTTCCATAGATCACATGGAGTTATGTCATCAACAAGGTATGCCTATTGATTTGAAAAGTTTTTCATTAAATAGCTCAAGAACTATAAAATATTTCTCACAGATTAAAATTCTAGGTGAAAAAGCTTTAGAGAGGTTAGTAGTGTAATTGCAACATCCCACTCTGTTTGTCTGAAAGTTATAAGCAACTAAAGTGGCTTCATCTGCATCAAGGTAGTGGTGCTGACTGGCCTGAAACCCAGATTTTGAGCCTTTTCTCTTTATTTGTCTTGGAACCATGTTGATGTGGGCACAATGAGGCACATAGACGTACAGTTAAATGTGGAGATTTCGGTTTAATTTTCAAGTCATCATCCAGTTGGGATTACTACTTGTGGCTGTGCGGGGAAGGCACAGTGTGATTCTCTTTAGTGTGGAATGGTGCAGAGGTGACATCTTTGCTGCTTTTACACCTCTCAGGGCTTTTGCTGGAAGATGATAGAGAGTCCTGAGTGTCACTTCACCCAGCAAATCTCCAAGGGGAATAAGGCATTCAGCCCCATGACCAACACCCGATCCCAGTAGCAACCTCAGCATTTGGAACAAGCCCCAGCATCCAGCTAAGGCTTGCCAAATCCTTTCTCCCTCGTCTGTAAGTCACAAGCTGTGGGGAGCATGGGAAGGGGGAGAAATATAGTGGTGGCCTTGCTGAATGTCTCATGGGGGGTGGTGACTATGTGCAATGTAGGAGTGGTGGGGAGAGTGGAGGGCTTTCCCAAGGGTCTCCCATCATTGTCTGGGGGACTTAACTCCTTGCACACCCACTAAAGCTGTTACCCTGACAGTCTGGGAGAACTGTTTCAGGTTCATTGGGGTGAACATAGGCGACTGTCTGGAGAACTGTACAGGCAGGTGACTAAATCATATCTGGTGGGTTAATTTTATTTTAAAAAATTGAAATAATGAGGTATGTACTTGTTTGACAAATAATTTGCATTTTAGGCATGAATACAGAATGGCAGGAAATATTTCTGTGGCTTTTTAAAAAGCCTACCTGCTACAAAAGTTAATATGTTAGCAGCAAGGAACACAGGAGAGATTACATCTCCACTTGAACAGAAGACTCACTCTCTCTGCTAATTTACAAGCTTTTTTTGGTAAAATAATAATAACAAAATAAAAATATACACATCCTCTACTAAATTGCTCAGAAGGTCACTTTACTCTTTTTGTGCGGGCTCTTGCTTCATACTGATATTTACTTGAAAACTTGAATTAATAATAAAGTAGTATTTACCTTATTATGAATCACTTAACCATGATATAAAGAAACTCTCTTATAGGACATTTTAATAGGTCAAGTAGTTTTCCTTTCTCTTTTGTGGTAAGGATGGCAGAGTGATTCCTCTTGTCCAATATAAAGTTAATATCACTGAATTGATGCTGACAATTCTAACAACACAAAGAAAATTGTCCAAAATCCAGCAAGAAAAAGACATTGTTGTATGATCCAAACAGCAAACTCTGTGTGCTACAACATTAGCCCATTAGCTTCATGGTGAGGATGAAAATTTCTGCTGGGTACAGTAGTTGGCAGTTAATGCGTCTTTATCAGTTTTACACAGTAGCCACCCAGATTCTCCCCACAGTGGATGCTACCTCCTCTGTCAAGAGAAGAAGCAGTCTGGGTCTTGAACATGGATCATCCTGAACCAAAATACATTCCCAGATTTGCAGACTCTGAGGCACTTCAGATACGAATCTAAACTTTGAGCCTGTGACTGTTGCCCAATCCTGCGTGGGTGGTGTATGAAAGATAAACCCTGCAGCAGAAGGAGAGGAGAGACGCACCGGCTCTGACTGGAGAACAGCTGGCGGGAATGTAGTTTTGCTTTCTGCCATAAAATCAAGTGGAGGACATTGGGCAGCTAAAGAACACACCTTAAATTTGAGAATGAAATATTAAAGAGCCCTTCACCTATCCTTGAATTTGGTGTGGGGGCGTAGCAGGGAACGGCACAGATTTGTGTGAGATACCTCCCAGAATGCACTAATAATACCTTCTTTCCAGCTATTAATTTATAGTAGAAGAATTCACTGTGTGTTGGGTGACTTGTCATACGCAATACGTTAAAAATGAGTGCTAGTAAAGGGGAAGGATTTAAAGACCATGAAAGATGAAAAGATAAAAATTATACAATCATTAGATTAGGACTGTAGGACACAAATCACAATACTCCTGAGTCCTGCAAGAGACCATATTGTGGTATGATTTAAGATGTGGTTTTTAATAGGAAAAGCATGAGAATATAATTTGCTGTGTAGCATGTGCTTCATTGATTATGAGAAGGAATTTGACTGCTTACTATATACAAGTATATAGTCAAAATTAAAATTCCTGGTTAATGATTTATTATTTTCATAACCTATGAAAGAATTAATAAATAGTCAGTGATAACTGGAGGAGTGGAGATTGAAAACAGGAGAGTGCTTGTCATGCTCAAATGCCCTGAATAGATATTTTAGCTGCCGTGCTAAAAAGGTAATGCTGGTTCCCAAAACAGTCTGCAGATTGTTCAGAACTCAATTGTGCAGCCATCGTGGTCTGTGTGTTAAGAGAGGGCTAAGATTCATTTGAAAGAAGGCTTCCCATGTGGATTCAGTCTGTATGGCCTAGTATGGAAGTGGAAATAATACCCAGTGTCACAAAATTTACTATTCCTCACATGACTTGAATACTGATGGATCTCTGAACATTCTCCGCTCTCAAAGGTAATTATGGCCTTGGAAGAGATTACTTGATTCAGTTAAATACCTTATAAAAATGGTAGCTCTCAGAAATTAATAAATACCTACATACATATATCAAAGCCCTTCTTGAAAGCCCTGCAAAACATGATTTTTTTTTTCATTTTGACCTGCTTTTGAGATACGAATGCAAGAAGTTGTAGAAGTGATTTATTCAAGATGGAATATTTGTTATAAGGAAATTAAATACTCAGTTATGAGTTATCCTATCTTTCAGAATGAAATGCTGGGGTTAATGTTAGGATAGCAACTGAATCACATTTATTCATATTTGCTTTGATGGTAAGTGCTATTTCTTCAAGAAACTTCAGTGGCTGCAAATCAATCAAAAACCCCTTCTAGACTGTATTACATTCAGTTCAATTCCTACAGACAGAAAGAATCAAGAGAAGGTTTGCAGCAGCAGTCACCCAAGCAAAAGCACTTTTTTGTTCTATTTGTAGTGACCACAGTGGTGATACCATTTTTTCTTCCATAGTGATGACCACTGATTGTCTGCAACCCTGTGCAAGGAGATGCGGAAATGTAAATCTGTCATTTTAATAGGAAATATGATTTTAAGCCTGCCTCTGAAGATAATCCAGATCACAAAGTTAA